TTTAGTACTTTTTAATTGAAAAGATCACAATATTTTCTTCATTTGCAAAAAAATCTGTTGATAACAAGTTTTGTTTTAAAGAAAGTATAAATAAAACATTACTTATCTTCTTTGGCTTTTTATTATATGTTTTTATAAAAATTTCTTCTTAATCAAATGTGTGATGTGATTCACCACCAATAATTTTTATTTTATGAAGTTATCTTGTTGATATGAGAGAACTCAATGGTGATTTGGTACTTGTTATGTATTGTAAAGTTCTACTATTAAGATAATAATTGAAGTCTTCATTTCTTCTTTTTGTGATTTTGGTAAGATTTACTTCTACTTCAAAAAACATTGCTTCTTATTCAAAATTTGATGATTTGTCTTTAGCTTTAATGATACTTGTTATAGATTTATTGACATTTTGTAGTAGCTTTCTAAACCTACAATCTTTGGTCATGTGATTTGACTTTTTACTAATATAGTAATAGAGTAAATGCTTGTTATCTTTAAAATAGAGACTTTTTGTAATTTCTTGTCTTCTCAAGAAAGAGTGTTTTTCTTTGTGACATAAATAACTTCTTCTTTCTCTTTTAAATCTTGTGTTAAAATCTACTTTTGAACTTTGTACAAATAGAGCCTTACTTTTAAAGTTGTTATTGGTTTTAGCTTTTAATAGTAATCTATGAAATTCTATTATAAGTTTTGATAATATTTTTTCAAAACTTATAGATTAATCTATTGATATTAAACTATGCACCATACTATCAAAAGAAGAAAGCAAGCTATTTAAAATAGTTTGTACAAGTCTTTGTAGGAACTTTTTTGCTAAGTGTTGTAAGTTAAATTTTTATTTCACAAATTATCTTCAAGAATTCTTCTATAGAACTAAAAATTTAAACTTTCAATAAAGATAGTTTATAGTTGAGATAAAATACCATAGCAAGATTTATACTTTTATATTTTTTTTTAATACCTTTCATGCATCTATAAGGTCTTTATATTTTGTTACCATATCTATAAGATAGTCTCTTACAGCAAAAGTTAATATCTTCATAGCTTTTGCCTTCATTGCTTGTACTTGAATTTTTGACAATATGCACTTATTGTATGAATATGGATATATTAATGAAAAGACTTTTCTAATGATGAAATTCTATAAGTTTCAGCTTATTGTAAGGTCTTCATCTTTAAATTCCTTCCATAGAAGTTATCTTTATTAATCAACTTGTTTGCCTTGCCAACTTAGAGAGGATCATTTGAACTCAAAATTTTCACTGGATTTCAATAATTGCTCTTTTCAACAATATTTTATACAAAAATTGCTTTTTAGCAAAAATAAAAGTATTTCTCTTATAAAATCTTTAAATCTTGCTCTAATACCATGTAAAATTCTACGCATATTAAAAAAAAAAAAAAAAAAAAAAAAAAAAATTGTTTTATCCACATAATAATATCAATTTATACACTTCAAAATATGATGTATTTGAGGATTTTTTTCATGCATTCTATTTTGACAATGTATTCAAACTAACCTTCATCCTCAAAGGTGTAAATTTCACTCCTCAGCCCCAATTACAAGATGGCCTCAATTAAGAATTGCTTGTAATTGGTGGTGTGAAGTGAAGTAAGTAATTGGCAAAAGACCAAAGAGGAACAACCACAATACAAGTAAAAGAGTTGAAATCAAGTAATCACAACATCCAAAACGAAGTCACAATCTGTTCACTGAATTTTATCTAGTAAAAAGTAAAAGTAAAAACTTAAAAATATATTTTTAGATAGATAATTTCTTTATCTTTCCAATGACATAAAAATCATGTAATTTCAAATTACTATGAATAAGTTATGATAGATTAAAGATAGAATGTAAACAATATAAAAGTTAAGTGAATAATTTTTACCTCAAGAATAACTTGCTTTAGAAATCAGTAGTTCGGGCCTCACTAAGGCTCACAAGTAGTGTGTATCCCTCTCAAGAGCCCTTGAGACCTTAGTCTTATCTTCCTACCTATACCTAAGGTGCTACAACCCATATGGGAATTGTGCACCTTTCTTCCTACAAGGACTACACTAGATGCTGGTCCTCCTATTTTCTACTAGTAAAACTACTTTTTTTGCATTTTTGACTTCACCATGGTATTCAAAAACATCCAATTAGCCTAAAAACCTTGCATAGTCTTCAAATCTTGCTTCATTTCTTCATAATGGCTCTCAAGGTGATAAAACTCAATTTTACCAAAGTCTTGAAATTTTCTCTAAAAATTCATAAAAAATTCTAAATAAATTCTAAATAAATTCTAAAAAATCCTATAATTTTTCTATAATATTAATATCCATATGGGGCTATATTTTCCTATCTTGGTGATTTTTTATAGTAATAAAATCAATTTAAATTTACTAAAAATCCTATTTTTATATAATTAGCTAAAAAGACATGAAGCTCTTTTTCATGCTTCTTCTAACTACTAACTAATTATTGATAGGATTTTATAAGTAATACATGTAGATAGGAGCCAATGAAGATATTGGTTTCAATAACTAACTCTTAATACTTAACAATAAGAAAAATACTAAACTAACTAAGATAATTGCCTCCAAGACTTACTAAGACTCTATTTTTATAAATTTTCTTCTAATAACACTTTTGCAACTTGTAAATACTTCTAAATTATAATAAATACTCGAATAGTCAAAAAAAAAACTCTCTAATCTTAACATTTGTATAATTGAATGACTTAAAACTATGTTTTTAACTAATCCACTAATTAAGATCAATTTATGGGACTCACAACTGATACCTTTATTATGGTGTTTTTTATGTGGATATCAAGTTTGTCCATGTATCTAAGGATTTCAGGCACGTTTTAGCCTAGTAAGAGCAGGAAACCTAGGCGCTCATTTTTTTGCCAATATAAACAGATAATATAGAAAAGTACTATTAGCCCACATGTCATTGATTCTGACGTTTTTTTTATTTCAAAAGTTAAAAGTTATGGAGCGAAACAAAATATGATTCATCAATTTCATTCTTAACTTATGGTTGATAATTCTGTTCAAGATAACACCAAAATCTTAAACAGAATCAGATCATCTAGTAGCGTGTAAGATCTACCAGATGATCTGATATTAACGCATTATTCAATTCACAACAGTTTCAAGATCATTGGGAAGTTCATGAGTGGTGCCGCATGGTGGGAAACAACCTCACCACACTTTCTATTCCAAGTAAACACTCATTAACAAATTGCGTATGAGAAAGCACAGTGAAAAAGTTCTGTGGAAACACATTGCTCTAATTATATACTGGTATGTTCGATGATTCCGAGACACTTGATGCTAGAATATCTACTATTTTATATTTAGAAAACAGAAACCTCGTTTTCAAACCGTTAAGGAAATTCCATGTTCGTATCGCGAAATTAAAAACTAAGTATTGACTTCTCACGTGGGCTGGCTTTATTTAGCACCGACTGGATGCCAAAACCATCACATACTGACGCGAAGTCAGCCCGAGAGATAGGAGCCAACACTGTCTCTCTAAATGCAGGTTCAGTGTAATAAAAAGCTTGTCATGGTGATCGACACTGTTGTTGCATGGGTTGCTTTGCACCTATGGCGAGTGCTGCCTTGCTGTGCCTCACGCTAGCCGGGTTTCACTAACATGGGGTGGGAGGAAGGGGAGCAGTAACTCTAATAATATATGGCACCGTCATGCGGAACAAAATCGCCGTTGCCAGCCACCAGTACCAGCCAACTCTTCCCTGATTCATGAGTCCATAGTTTCGGTAATGTGCTGATCTAGCTCGCTGCAGCGCATTTGTAGTACCGCCCTGGTTGACTAGTCACCAGGCTGGGTACTAGCGCCGAAGCAGGTTTCGAAGCCCTTTCAGTGTCACTGCATGCATTTTTACTTCGCCAAAGTTAGTCCACTGATGAGGAGGTGGGTCATGTGGGAGGTGTCGAAGCATGCCGACTCCCGAGGCCGCATCGCATCGGGATGGTTTGTACGGCTTCAGCTTTGATACCCCCATGCTAGCTCATATGTGTGTTCTTGCGTGTGTGTGATTTTTTTAATGTAATGTCCTTGACTGGTTTAAGATCTGTGGGATTTCCGAGTTTCTCGTCCCGATGAGAGCTTGTGGGTGTGATGGTGCTTGCAGTAAAGGTATGTTTTTCGGCGTGAATAAAGGGAAGAAGAAAGGTCCTGGTACATTTAATTATATTGACGTATCGAAGGCGCATATGATATCGGATGCAAGTCATTGCATGAGCGTGACAGAAGTGGCCTACCAGGCTTTTAAAGTCGGTAACAGTCTCAAGCCAGGTTGTGAGAATAGCCACTTGCTCGTCCAATTCTATACTTTGTGATTTTGTGATCTCGTGGATATGTAGCATTGCACGCAATCGGCTCCACCGTCAAGTCGGACCCTAGAGTTTCTTATCGAGAGATTGCTGAAACTTTGTGTCTAAGCTTAAGCAAGGAATAGTGGTTAGTGGTGACCGGATCAGGAAACCGAAAAGCAGGAGGACGAGATCTCTATCACTTCTCGTGTGCGGCAATTCTCTCACAGTAACGGGGCATCTGATCCTGCTCCCTTTCTGTGCAGGGGTCGTGGCATGTGACTGCAGTTGATACTTCGCAGGAACAAATTGGAGTTATGATCAGTTTGCAATTAAAAATTGATAAAAAAAATGACGTAGTAAGTCGTCTGATCTACAAACACACCGATCATTTCTAATGTGCTTTGTTTTTGGCTCAACTTACGGTGTGAAGTTATTTGCAATGGAAAGGAGTTGCTTGTTTCGCGTGGATGATAATAAAGCTACTCTCAGAAAGTTTTCTTGTGAGTACGAAACAAACTGATCTGTCGGAATGTCTGATTGGGTATCACATCATGGGTCTTGTTTCTAGAGTTTCATGTAGGTTTTCTTAGTCTTGGTGGAGTATTCTGACAATCCTGCTTCTTTTTACAGACATTACCAAACTCTTCAGCAGCACATTATCCTGAGAGATGGTGAAACTGCTAAAACCCTTGAATTGGTCCAGAATGATCTGCAACATAGCGGACATCATGTCTAGCAAGTCACGGTACGAAGTGTCCAGCATTCCATGCTGATCCGTGCGATCAAATGCCATTTCATGTGATTTCGTACAGTGTTTTAAAAAAAGTTGCATGTGTTCTTTGACTTCATAGTGCCATCCAGGATTTGTCAGTGTTTGAAATTTGTCCCACCAGCTTCTTCGACCTGTATTTCTTCCCTTGGTTCGCATACCACAGCTCCTGACCTTCTTCAAGTTACTGAATCCGTCCAAAACATGATTGACTTTATTGCAGATTACGTTCGTGCTCCCTGTATTCTCTCGCGATATATCTTTGTCTACTAGCCACATCGAGCCCCCTTTGGTGCACTTCTTCCGTTGCCCAACTACCTGCTGCTTCTCCCCTACCAGGACTCACCCCTGCACCTTCGCCTTCGCTAGCACCAAATGGAAGTGCCACTGATCCTGACCAAATGGCAGCGATCTACAGCCTCCCGTGGTGGCCGGATGTGTGGCGGTTCAGGGGCACGGTTCCCAACATCAGCGATATAACAGCCCCAAATCGAGACCCGTGTATCAGCCATTGGGTTGGCGTCTACTGCGACGGAGGGTTCCCCTACCAGTTCATCCTCAACATCACCATCGTGGACGTTAGAGGAGGATTCCCTCCAAATTTCCTCATCGCCATGTCTAAGCTGAAAACCTTGCAGTTTCTTCGAATTTATCAGAAGGGTGACAAAGCGACGTCCAGCTTAGGAGGAACCATACCCGCAAGCTTGGGGCAGCTTCAGGAGCTTCAAGAGATCAATTTCTGGGGGAATCAACTCGTTGGTGGTGTGCCGGTGGACGTTGCTCTTCTGCCTAAGCTCACATCCATTAACTTAGCAGATAACCACTTAACTGGACCAATTGCGCATTTATGTCAATCGAAGTCGCTGCAGACAATACTCCTGTTCGACAACCAATTCACTTCCGATATACCGGCATGCTTAGGAAGCATGAATCTTACGAACTTGAACCTCGGCGCAAACAACATCACGGGAGGCATTCCTCCGAGCTTTAGCAACTTAGTGAACATGGAGACTCTTAATCTCGACAATACGACATTGGTGGGAGGCTTACCCAATGCTATGGTGGCCAAATGGCCTCGATTGACGTCGTTGTCTATTCGAAGGAGCAACCTTTCGGGCCCGATACCACCAGCAATCGGGAGTTTGAAGCTTCTCACTTTGGTTAACCTTGCACAGAATAATCTCTCAGGTCCCATTCCGGCAACTTTCGGCAACCTGGACAGTGTCGTGACGCTAGGTCTGTATGAGAATAAGTTGACTGGGACCATACCTCCTGAGCTTGGAAACATGAAAAATCTGACAAATCTTTTGCTGTCTGAAAATTCATTGTCTGGACCGATCCCTGCGAGCCTGGGGAAGCTGTCGAAGCTGCAGCAGCTGCATCTGCAAGGCAACAAGCTGAGTGGCGCTGTTAACAGTCAAATGTTTCTCAATTTCACAGGTTTAAAGGGACTATTTCTTCAGGTAATTGGAACAGCGGCTTCGAAATAACTGTCTTCGAATTTGCAATTTCGTCCTTGTGCTAGTATTCTGTAGGAATTTAAGTTTGTTTCTGTGCTGATTCTTGGTGTTTGCTTCACTTATGAATTTCACGTTTCTTCAGATGAATAATTTCAGTGGAGTGTTTCCGAGTCACGGCATCTTTAATTCCTGCATGTCGTTGGTGAACGTGAGTATAAGCAACAACTTCTTCAGTGGGCCTGTTTTGGAGCCAAATACGACGCTTCCTACCAACTTGACCTTTCTACTCATGAGCAACAACCACTTCTCGGGAGCCATTCCAGCTGCCATGGGAGATCCCACGATTAGCTTGCAGTATCTGGATCTGTCCAGCAACTCTCTGAGTGGAGAAGTGCCTACTCAAGTCACTGGCAAAGCACGCGTAGCTCAAATCAATCTATCTTTCAACACTCTCAAGGTCACAAAGTTGCCTTCAAAGCCCGGCTTCGGCCTGTTCAACTGCCTCCCTGAGGTATGGATACCTGCACAGAAAACTTGCTGAATTTTTCCCCCTTTAAAACTCGGCTTCTACACGAAAACGTTGGAGAAAACAAATAGATATTAAAATTACGACACAAGCTGCTAAAAAGAAAAAGATATGTTCCTCAATGATGCATAGAATCAGTGAGAATCCATGTTTGCGTGCTGTGTGTGTCCTTCAATGACCTGGAAATTAACCATTTGATGATGTGTTCTTTTTGGCTAGCGTGTATTTCTATGTGCGAGTTCACAGACTAGGCTCATAAGCTGGAACTTGGTTGCAGGATAATAATTGCATAGAGAATCAGCGGGGACATACCGAGGAGGTTGCCATAAACGTAGGAGGACCTGAGTACCATGAATACGAAGCAGACATCCCAACTTCAGACTATTCCATCGAGATGTATACAAACTCATCAACATCCGTCTGGTCCATGAGCACGAGGGGAATAGACGGTGGGGGAGTCATTAATGGATCCCAAACCCTCTCGAATGCCGAGAGCATCGATTCCTGGCCTCTATACAACACTGCCAGAACAGGAGCCGATTCGTTTCAATATTACATACATTCTCTGGTACCTGCCAAATACAAAGTTGCCCTAGGCTTTGTGGAGCTAAATACTGATGTGCGCCCCGGAGACCGTATTTTCGACATTTGGATCCAGGGGAAATTGGTGTACCAAGGGATGGATGTGATGGTGCGAGCCCAGGGAATTTTCGAGCATTTGTTCAAACCTTTGATGTGGAAATCAGTCATGCTGGCGCTGGGGGGCTCCTGTCCATCGAGCTTCGTGGACGCGGGAGTTGGCCTCTAGTACTGAATAAACGGTTCAAACAAGGATTCTACTACGGACCGACTCTTTCTTCTCTTCGCGTCTATCGACCCAAGGAACTCAGTCGACTCGCCAAAATTGGTATCATCGTGGGTGCGACTGCAGGAGGAGTGCTGCTTGCAGCAGTGTTTCTGTTGATTGGGTTTTGCTACATAAAACGTAAACAGAGGGAAAAAGAATTGAGAGAGGAGCAATCATCACTTGGACTCATGTTTTTCAGGTATGAGGGACTGATCTCCAGATGTTTAGGCATGGCAGTACAACAGACTTTTGAGAGATATTTGCGTGCACTTGCATTTTCACAAAGAATATACTATTCTCGTGGATGATTGTGTTTCCAAACTGAACTCCACATACCTCGACGTGAATTACTTGGCCAATTTCAAACCAGGAAAGACGCCAGTCGCATCAGTATAACTTGAAATTGTTCTGTTTGGTGGATCGTGGTGAAGAAAGGGTACACTATTATAAAGCCTAACACGATTCATGTTTTGGAACATTCAGATACAGTGAACTAGAAGCGGCAACAAATAAGTGGTCAAGCAAGAATTTGCTTGGTGAAGGAGCATTCGGCAAAGTTTACAGAGGTGTTCTTTCAGACGGTACAATTGTTGCCATAAAGCAACTTATCACCAAAAAGGTTGGTCCAATGTGTTCCAAGGAGTCTTTCCTCAACGAAGCCCGGATCATCAGTACCACTCGCCATCGCAACTTGATTGCCCTCTTGGGTTGTTGCTTCGAGACTGAAAACGCCATGTTCGTCTGCGAGTACATGCCCAATGGCAGCCTTCATGACGTCCTTTTCGTGAGAGAAATCTCGCTTGACTGGGCACAAAGGTACCAGCAGCAACCTCATTCCTCGTCAAATTCTTCATCGATGTGAAAATAGTTACGAAAAGAATTTACTTACAATCATAGACTCCTTATGTGCAGTCGCTTGATCTGCTAGTGAAGCTGGAACGATTTCTATTGATTCAGTGCATACTTCTGCCCAGGATGACGATCGCAAAGGACGTCGCAAACGGGTTGCGTTGCTTGCACGAAGAAACTGTGAACCGGATCATTCACCGTGACGTGAAACCTGCTAATATTCTCTTGGACGAGAAGATGAGTGCCCGAGTCGCGGACTTTGGATTAGCACGACTTGTAGCTGACCAAGAAATTGACGTCGTCACTAATGTCATGGGGACTCGAGGATACCTTGCTCCTGGTACCTGTTGAGCATCCTAAGTCAAATTGCTTTTGTGACCGATTGAAACATTGTTCCAGCGTCGCATGAATCCATTCATTCTTAATAGATTAAAGTGACTTAGTTATGGAATGATTGAACCATAACGACACTCCTCTGGTTTCCGATCGTGCAGAATACGCATTGAATGGACATCTGTCAGACAAAGTGGACGTATACAGCTACGGAGTGGTGTTGCTGGAACTAATCAGTGGGCGCCATGGTATGCAACTATCTGAAGATGCAGAACCTATAGGCATTTCGATGGTGCATTGGATTTGGGATATGGTAGAGGCAGGTAAAGTTCTCACCATAGCCGATCCTACTCTCGACCATAGATTCTACAACGAAGATTTCATTCGGATGGTAGAGATTGGGCTCTGGTGTACTCAGAGCCATCCTCACATGCGGCCCAGCATGAACCAGGTTAATGATCTTTCTCTGCCAAACCTTCAAAAGTTGCAACGATTCTCAGTTTTTTCAACTTGCAACTCAAACTCCATCGTCGGAGGCCTGCACACACTCATGAAACACATTAGCTCATTATCTGGCCTTTCACATCGCTTTCTTAATTCCCCCATGAACATAGTCCCCAACTTGAACTCCAGCACTAAGGCTACGACTAACTGACAACACATGCGAATGCTGTCGCTATGCATCACCAGGTAGTGCGTATGTTGCAGAGAGAAGCTCGCGTGCCCAAGCTAGTGGAACAAAGAACCATGTACGAGACGCGCGACACGAAGGGACTACCAGTGAACCCATTCGATGAGATGGAGTGGCCATCGTACGTGGCCGAGGTTCCGACACTGGGCTTGAAGGAGGAGAAAAACAACGGCGACACGGCCAAAATGAGAAGTGACGACACTCAGGGGTCCAGCACCACGCCAAGCTTCGACAACTCCATCTCGCAAGTGTCTGGTGTTACGCCGCGCTAAATCCCACGCCATGGTTCCTGCTTGCGCTGCATCACCATCTCCATCTGGTCGATCCCCTCGACTTTATCAAGGGCACCGTTGTCGGCATTCTTCAGGTTTTGCATTGCGATGCATCGCGATCTGTGGCTGTAGCTCAGCTTCCTGCTCTCACTTAGCAAGCGGGCTCACTCCGACCCTGAGACTGTTATAGCCTGATCGGACTCCTCCAACTTCCATTCCGTGGTCTCACTTTTCTAAACAATAATTTAGTGTGACCTTCTGCTGTGTGCTTAGAATGTGACATTGGAGTCTTTGAGTTTCCTCTTTGGGTTCTGTAAACTCTTCATGTAGTTCATTAAGTGAATGTTCATACATGTTATGTTTTGAACTTGACTTGACTTTTTATGTGGTATCAAGGTTGGTTTATAAATTTTTTACGATTCAATAATGTTTTCTACTTGTTTATCCCTGTTTGTTTGTTTGTTTGTTTTTGTTTTTGTTTTTTTCTTTTTCCATCTTGGCTTTGTCTTTGATACCAATATATATATGTATATATATATATATATATTTGTAAGTATGGATATGTAATAATATAATAATACAATAATTTTTATATTATTACACTACTACATTTTATAAGATTTGTACCACATTATTTTAAAAAGATTCTAAGCTATATTTTGAGATCTCTAGTTTCATATAATATATGTTTATTTAGAATCTAAAAACCATATGGTTTCTACCATTGTCTTATTTGATTTAGAAGCTTCTACATATATTTTGTATAAAAAAAAAATACAAAGTATTGCAAAATATCTTTATTGTATACATGTAGAAGTTGTAAAAGTTTAATTTTAATCTTTTTGAAATTTTATCTATAAAAGATTACTAATAGAATTATTCTTAGAAGGTCATAAGATATTTTAGTGTTAATAAATATTATTTATTTAATTAATTCAATGGTGTTATTATTTTAGTTGTTGAAATATAAAATTTTAAATACATTATATAACTTAAATTATAATATTATATTTTCTAGTAATGTAGTTATATAATCTTATTTTAATAATATTGATTTGTCTAAAAAAGCATCATAGCAGAAATATTATTTTCAAAAGCTTAAAAAATCAAATATATATTTATTTAGTAATAAAAAAATTATATTAGCTACAAAAATATATATTTATTTTACATTCAAATAAAATCTATCTATTTATCAAGGATTTGAAGCATAACAAAACTCCAAAGAAGTAATACATTCTTCTAACACTTAAAAAGAGAAAGTAAACAAATCAAAAATAGATACAAGATAGAAACTAGAACGACTAATGTTGAATACAAAAAAACTAGATATTCTTGAATTAAGACAAGAATTTAAGAAAGATATTGATAAGAATGAAGAAGGCATTACTCTAGCCTCCATATATACTATCTAACTATAGAACTTTGTTCTATAGATCGTTCAATACATGTCCAATTTGCAAGGCCAATTTCCTATATTTATACCACATAACCAACTTGTATAATAAGTAGTCAACATATGAAACTTGTGGCCAACTTGTTGGCCAAAGATTTAACCTATCAATCTCCTACAAACACTTGTAAAGTCAAATCCTCATCTACAAAGCTTCTAAAAAGCTTTTCCACAAGATAGTATCAAATTTATTTATTTTTATTTCTATCTAATTTTTCTTATCCTTGTACTTACTAATACGAATGTTGATGTCTATGACACTATTATTTTAGAAAAACTTCTAATCTTGTTTTAAACCAATATAAGGAATTTCAAGGTGTGTTTAGAAAAATTAATGTAGATATCTTTTCTTAAATTTTTTTTTATGATTTTAAAATTAACTCCAAAACTGAGAAGAATCAATTGCAAGGTAGATTTATATACAAACTTATATACAATAAATTATTTGGTGTAAAAAAATATATAAATGAGAAGTTTTGGAAAATTTCATATTTAAAATTATACTTTTTTGTAAGTACAAAAATCTTCTATGTAGAAATAATAATAATAATAATAATAATACTAATAATAAAGAAAATCTATTTTATGAATGTTTGTAATTAATTGAAGATTGAATACGTTTTCCACTAAAAAAATAATATTTTTTATCATTTATATTTAATTTTCTTGATCTACTAATCAACCCATGAAATACAATGAAATGAAATGAAATTGATATACAAAATACTTAATGGCTAATATACATTAAAATTAAAATCATAATTAATCAAAATATTTTAAATTATGTATAAATATATTTCAAAAAATATTTATGCCTATTGATATGAAAACATTTCTAGTTATGACTTAAAATTAAATGGAAAATATATTTTCTTAAATTTTTAATATATTAATCATTTAAATTTAAAAAAATATCATTAATTTGAAAAATAAAATATATTAAAAATAATATATTTGTATTAAATTATAAAAAAATTATATTTATATTTAATATTATATATATGTACACATATATACTTAATTTTGAATGAAAATCTTCTAATTTGTGAAAACATGAAATAAATACAAGAATGTTAATAAAATTTTATTAAAATAAATTTTAAATAGTTATTATGCTTATTGAAGTATTTCTATTCTATAATCTAAATATAATATAATGTATTGTTATAGAAGTTAAAAAAATATTATTAAATACCTTATATAAATAAGTTTATCTTAGACAAAAAATAACTAAATAAACATTTCTATAATCAATAAAAATCTATTTAAAAAATATAAAAAATACATCTTTAAGTTATAAAATTAGTAATGTCTATATTTACTACAATTTTTCAAGATGTTTGTTTAAGTATGTCAATTAATTCTTTTGTTATTGATGCATAAAAATATCTCTTTGATAATTTTAGTATATATATATAAATTTTTTAAATATTATTTTAAATTCAAAACAACCATACAAAATTTTATCTGTTATAAGTATAATATGACTTTATAGTAGCTAGAGAATTTGAATCAAATAATAATTATTATTTTAGAAATAGAATTTAGAAATTTCTTGGTAGCTTTAATTATCAAATATTATCACAGAATTTCTATTATCTTATAATATTTGCAATAAAGAAAAGCCTCTAAAACATTGCTTGTATAGACTTCTCTTACAAGTAACCATTTTCAAAAATTATAATCATTTGTTTCACCAGACTTTAATACAACTGTATCAACTTCAAACACATAATACTTAGTATTTGTAATAGCAGATTGTTTGGAACCTTGTAATGAAGCTATTGGAAGTGAAGAAACAACCAATGTTTTATTAATAGTAAAATCCTCACAATTTAAGTTTAAAATTTTAATTTTATTTAGAATCACTATATTTTAAAATAGATATTTAAATTTTGTAATTGAATTTATAACAACATTTTTATGATTTAAAACTAATTACTTCTTTTAATATTTAAAATTTAAGGTATTTGAAAAATATTTATAGGTTGTAGGATTTGAACCAGAATTTTTCAAAATTGAGGATTTGAGATACAAAATATTCAATATTTTAGAATGTAATGAGTACCAATACAAATTCAAATAAAGTATCTTAGAACTTAGAAATTATTGTTGTTTTTTTAAAGAACATTTGGGATTTGGTTTATATTTCATATATTATGTTTTATTGAAATTCTACATTAAAGTTATTAGAATAAAATTATCACTTTTAAAGGTCTACTCTAAGATTCCTACCTGTTATAATTGAATTTTTTTATTTTTTTATTTTATTTTGTAATAAATTATTAATGTTTTGTTTAGTGCAAGTAAGTTAATTGAGATTGTTAGTTAGCATAAATTACTTTTTGAATAGGCTAAGTGGTAAACTAAGTGTATGATCTATTCTATAAAAAAAAAAAAAATTGAATTTAAAATTCTTAATTGATTGATTAGATATGAATTTTTATTAATACTCATACACAACCTAACTTAAACAAATTATCTAATTATTACATAAGAAGAGTAAAATTTTATTTTATATTCTTTTATAAACTCTATGAAAAATCTTGTTTTAATCCTTTGGCTTAAAAATATGTCTTGTAAATTTTAGCTAATATCTTAAGTCACAAATATGCAAATAAAAAAAATAAAAACTAACATCTGATTTATATATTTTATTTAATTCTTTGATATTGTCTTTCATATATTTTTTTCTTTAATAAATAAGTTTACATTGAGATATAGAGGAATTAAAAGTCAACTATACTTTTGAAACAACATTGAAGGTTGTTGTATTCTGTTAAGATGTAGAATAAAATATGTATATTGTATATTATTTTTTTGTTCTAATTTTAGTATAAATCACAATAATCACATCAATTTAATACATACACATATACATATATGAATTCAGTATAAAATATTCACATATTTCATAATAAATGATAAGAATGCTAATTACAAGAATAATAATATCATAAAATCTATATACTTTAAAACTACACTACAAATTTTTGGATGAATAAATATGATAACTTATAGTTTGAAAGTCTTCTAGAATTGAAATTTCATTAAATTATGAATTACAAAAACTACCACCTATTTATATTGAAATTTGCAAAAAAAAAAAATAGAAAGAAAGAGATATAAAAAGAAAAACTAGATCAGTACTTTTAGAAGTATATATATATATATATATATATATAATGAATTTTTAAATTGACCTGCCTATCTTAACCATCATCAAAAAATTCTCCACTGTGGATCTGTATTGGTTGAAAACCATTTTGAAAAATGATTGGACTTGCAACCAATGATGATGGGTGGATTGATTTAGTAAATGCATGGGTCAATTTTACAATTCCCTTTATATATATATATATATATATATAGAGAGAGAGAGAGAGAGAGAGAGAGAGATGTATATATGAATATTTTTGTAATGAAATGTTTCTTCAACCATAATCTAAAATTGATCGGAGTTAAACTGTGTTTTTCCCTTCCACAATGTTTCTTTTTTTCTTTTTTTTATTGCATGTATGTGGATCAAAATAAGAAACTAACTAACAACTACGAAGTTGCAACTAACATTTCCAAACTCACCATCAAAAATAAAAATAAAAAATTACAAAAGCAATGAGATGTTGGCCACAAGATTCGTGAACTGCTAGACGCCCAGCCATTGGTCCAAATGGGGCCTATCGGGCGAATAACCGTCAAGGTTCCGCCACGTCACCCATCACCGTCCGCGGCGATAGCCCACCACCGCGTGCCACCACCAAGGCCAGGTGCCGTCAAGGCCTGGCTTTCGAATCCCCCTTTCCAAGACGAGAGAACGCTTCCACCGAGAGACGAATTTGGATCCTGTTTGCGCCACCCTGCTTCGCTGCTGTGAACACAACTTTGCGCCCAATCAAGTCCGTGGAGCCACTGCGAGCAAGACCGAGTTCCTTAAACCTCCCAGGTTGCGTTGTTGGGTCGGCGTAACTCTCTTGAACTATTCTTGCCAGGAGATGTTCGAAACGTTGTTGTTTATGAGTCTACCCTGGAGTTTTAGAAACATGGGTTATGGTTGACCGCAAACACAAATTGTAGACTTGCATAAGCAGGTTACAATGGCTGCAGCTTCCCTCCCATCCCTGGCTCTCTATAGAACTGGGATTTGTGGTTGTCGATATGATGAGTCTTGTATGAGTCAGAGAGCAGGGGCAGCTTGGAGGATCACTGGAGGGGACAAGAATTTGCTCTGTGCGTCTCGAGGTGGGCGGTCTTTCTTTAATTTTGGATTGGTTTTGGTCTGTTTCTGTGGATTTGGGTTGTTTCTGGAGAGTCTCACCGGAGCAGATTTTGGAGATTGGAACTGAGCGTATGCGGGTGGAGTGCTTGTTGTGCGGAAGAGTGGACTGAGTGCTCCGTAGTTGCTAGGGCTCGTAGGAGGTGACGTCTAACGCAGGCTTTGTGTTTTTGCTCATAGAATTTTCCCCGTGCAGGCAGTGTAATTACGGGGAGACATTGTGCAGATTGTAAGATACGTCGAATTAGGCCCAATTTCAGCAGATGGTTGTCTAAATCATCTTGTAAAGTTAGATACCGTGAAGCACTAAATTCAGTAACCAGAAAGGAATATGGACGCGCCCCCTCAAAATTAGCGGCGCAACGGCGAGAGGATTCATTGACTGAAAGTGTGGAATCTGTCTCTGGGAGCGATACCATGCCTTCGACTGCACCAACTCGGGATCGAAACGTTGAGAATGGTACGTTCATATTTGTGAAAAGATTGTGATTGTCATATGTTTTTGGTACGGTTAGAATGTATTCAATCTGCAGTACGCTAGAAATAGGGCGGGTTTCTATTACGACGGTTTATATCCTGCTAGTGTAATTTCACTGAATCCGACATAACGAAAGAGTCGTGTTTTATTAAGTATCTCGAACAGATTAAGGACTCAGTAATGTGGAACCTTTTATGGGTTTGATTGAATACAAACTTCCCTTTTCTTTTTTCTTTTTTTTTTTTTTTTTTTTGTCATTATTTTGTGATTATAGAAACTTTCGACATTACTCCATTTTCTCATCTAGTTCTGTTGGACTTGATTGTTGGCCGATTATTCTGTTGAGTTCACATTCACAGTAGGATATCAAGGTCATGTTATTTGATGTGCTTTACAGGGGCTACTGTGCTGAGTTCGGTGGACGTAGTTGAAGACGAAGTTCGCAATGTGGAAGTGTCGCACAAAAGTTCGCAACTTGAAATGGAAGGATTAAGGAAAAGCGAGGCAGCGAAGGTGCTTTTTGGAGTAGAAATGTCACCAGACACGATCGCAATAGCTATGGTGTATTTTGTTCAAGGAATTCTTGGGCTTTCTCGTTTGGCTGTTAGTTTTTTTTTGAAAGATGATTTGCATCTCGACCCCGCTGAGGTAAACTGGTGACTTGGTACTTTATTCAAGTAAAACCTACTGTATATTATCATCATAGGTTTTCGCGAGCAGAGGTACTTTGCATTCAAAAGTTTTAAGTTGGGGTAATGGCACATAATGTAATCTATGTTTGCATTTTTTTTTTCTTTTCCTTTTTTTCCCATTTCACTTCGCGTTTGGAGGGTATCAACAACTTTGTTAATGAGCTGCTTGACGGAAATTACCAAAGAAGAATGTACAACAGTACTTTATCTTGCCTTAATGATGTCAGAAACCTGGCTGTTTCTCATGACAGACTGCGTTTTTGACCGGCTTCTCCGCACTTCCCTGGCTAATAAAACCCCTCTATGGGTTTATCAGGTCATACAAATACATGTATTTTGTTAAATATGCTAGAATAATGCTGCTGGCTGTTTTGATCCATGAGCTGTGCCTGAATGAAGTTTTGAGCAGTGATCAGTGAGTCTCCTTGCTTATGTGCGTAGTTTACCCTTTCGTGTGCGACAGTGATGGAGTGCCATTATTTGGATACCGGCGACGCTCTTACTTGGTATTGTGTGGACTTCTTGGTGCATTATGTTGGGGCTCGCTTGCTGTAGTAGTCGATAACAAGTATGCTGCAATGACAGCAATTCTGCTCAGCTCCCTATCGGTGGCATTTTCTGATGTGGTACGGTCACTTCATGTGTTATACTATTCCAGCATGCAAATTTTGTAGCAGTTCTTGTAGCACATCCTTATCGTTTCACTATCACCAAATTTAGACGCTATTTTGAAAGCGCACAGTAAACAACCTTGTTCTACTTAATTAGCATGATGTATCGCTACTGATATTGGAGGTGCTGTTTTTCCAGGTTGTGGACTCCATGGTAGTAGAAAAAGCGCGGGGTGAGTCCCAGGGTGCAGCTGGTTCCCTTCAGAGCCTGTGCTGGGGTTCTTCGGCGACTGGGGGCATAGTTAGCGCTTATTTCAGTGGTTACTTGGTGGAAACATATGGCACAAGGTACGTACACTCAAAATCCTCGTGAACATGCGTATTTTTTGGCGATTTTGCGCACCATTTTATGATCCTTTGAACTCTAGATGTTTTCGAAGTAACTGAGCTCAAAGCCGACTAATGAGGAGGTGATTTTACAGATTTGTTTTTGGAGTTACAGCAGTACTGCCTTTGATAACCTCAGCAGTCGCGGGTCTTGTAGGAGAGGTGCCTATTAAGGCATCTAGTGGTGATCCAAAAGTCAAGTTAACTAAAATGGCTCAGTTTATAAGCACATCGAAGTCACAGCTTGGTTTTTTGTGGGAAACTGTGAAGGAGCCGAATATATTTTGGCCAACTCTCTTCATTTTCCTGTGGCAAGCTACCCCAACATCCGACACGGCCATGTTTTTCTTCACGTAAATTCTCTAACTCCTTTTCATTCATAATCTGCTGGAGAAGATTAAAAGATTGTGTTAACTTATGCCGTAGTTGACTCAGTAGTGACAACTATGGCGTACGTGTTTTATGTGTGCAGGACTAATCATCTAGGATTTGGACCGGAATTTCTAGGGCGTGTACGCCTCGTGACTGCAGTGGCATCACTTGTAGGTGTTGGATTATATAACAGCTACTTAAAAGATGTTCCCCTTCGCAGTATTTTCTTGTGGACAACTCTGTTGGGAACAGCTTTAGGTCTTACTCAGGTTTGTCTCTCTTCACCATGCAGAGTGTAAACATGAGAAGTTGATCTCAGTTTCAAAATTCTGTAGTTATTCGGCTGATCGAACCTGTTGAACTTTGTTAGGCACACCGACCTTTGCTCTTCATATTCTTATTAATGGACTTCGTCTTCTCTTAAACAAGAGACGACATTCACTGCATTACATTAAGCAATAAGCCAGACGTCTCTAATGTGAGTTTGGCCCTTCCTTTTAGACAGCTATCTGATAGAGGGATTAGTTTTGATGGAGAATGGGCCTGTTAATACCTTGACAGGTAAAATCCATCATAGTACAACTCAGGCTGGAAGTATGAATACTTTCTCTAATATAAACCTTCAACAATTTAAGCACCACATTGAAGAATATTTTCGTGGGTTTGATGTGGTTCTTGCAGTTATTGCTTGTCACTGGTGTCAATCGGAGTTTAGGCATAAGTGACGAATGGTTCTCAATGGGAGATTCACTCTTTTTGACAGTACTAGGCCAGGTATGCCGTAAATCTCCTTATCTCAGAATCTTAGCCTAGATTTGATGATTGTTAAAATGACCAAGTTCTTTAACCTCTTCCATGCTTCGCACTATGCGACCCCATTGGTGGGTGGCCTTTGAAAGTGCTACCTGCCATTTGTTATAATTTTTCCATTTATGTGTCAGTCAGTTGACACTACTTTCGTCATGATTTTGTAGATTGAGACTACATTGTACTGAGGTTTCATGAAATTTGCAGGTATCATTCATGCCAATTTTGGTGCTGGCAGCTAGACTATGCCCACCAGGTGTAGAGGCAACACTCTTTGCCACTTTGATGTCTATCAGCAACGGAGGTGGCGTTACTGGGGGAGTTCTTGGAGCTGGTCTTACACAGGTCCTTGGCGTCACAAGCCAGAACTTTGACAACCTAGCACTTTTACTCCTGTTATGCAATGCCTCCTCCCTGCTCCCATTACCGTTCCTGAATCTCCTCCCGTCAGAGAGTGAGCTTGCGGCAACAGTGGAAAAGGCAGAACAGGCTCAAAGAGACTTTGAGAGTTCTAAACAGGACTAGTTTCCAACCCCTTCTCCTACACGGATTCTTACCGTACATGTAGTCTTTTCCACAGTTATACATCACATCCAATGCAGTTCAGTTATTTTCATTACCTACAAGGACCTCTCAGGTTTTGAGATAGAATTCAGGTTCTTTTACATGAGCCATTCTTGTGATGATTTGCTCAGTGAGCCAATGCTAATACTTCAATCTAGGGTGCGAACGAATTTAGGCAATAGATGTAAGATTATCCCGCTGACATGGTATTCTCCTAGTCTGTCAAATACAAGAATTGCAGGGGAATGTCCAGACCGTGTAGCATGAATTATTGCCGCATTCTTTGATAATATTCTTTCTGTTCGACACTTGTGTTTTGGTTACTTGATCTGTGTTGATTCTTCTCTTGTTCATCTGAATTCGTGGGTGTGAAGATGTGCTTCAGCCACGCGTATTGTAGGGCAAACAAATATGGTCAGATGCATCTAGAGAGCTCCTTCATGTACAGACTGCAAAACTGCTGAGAATCTTGAGGTGAATATTTATATTACTAATTTTGAAAATGGAATCATCACATGCAATGGAAATAGTGTAACAACGTACTTGAAGAAAATTAGTTGACAAAAAACGAAGAATGTAATTTGATGCTAAGTGTTACTTACAACGTATCTAACTAGTACAAAATTTCATATTGGGGAATGATTCTACTGAACGATTCATAAATCATTCGACATTATGTACTACCATTATATTCTTGCTTCTTTTCAGTTTTTTAAGTGATATGCAAGAGAAATTTAAAATAATGGTAATATGTTCGAGTTGTTCCAGTTTAAAAAAAGTAATGGAATAAATGAAAGGATCAACAAATATTAACAAAAATAATCATCAGCGTGGTAGAGAATTCTTTTTGTAATTTTTTGACATGAGTGTTTCAACCCGGCCTTCAAATTTATGCACATCTTACACCTTTCTGCATTAAGAAGTTCCATAACATTGATACTTAAAACCTTGCACATTAAAAATTAATAATAACATCAATAAGAAAAACTCAGAAAAAAAAAAACACAAATTTTAAGACGTAAAACCAGGAGTTTAAAATCATGGGACTAAAATGTCATTTAGTTAAAAATTTCGAATTAGAAGTTAAAAATAGACTTAGTAAATAAGATTTACTACTGTTATTTTGTAGAAGACAGAACACAATAAATAATAATATTAATAAATTAATTAAAATAAGGAAATGGCTATGTGGACACTCGCCTTTACTGTGTGGACATTCTCATGCCACACACCTGTGCATACACACAATAAAAGTCTTATTTACATTAATAAGTTTTAGAGTAAATTTACAAAAAAAGATAAATGTGCACTGTCTTATTGTACTTTGTTCTTTTTTCTTTTCCTTTCAATTTCAATGTTGATTAATTTTTACAAAATTTCGTATTAGATTTCATATAACTCTTTCATTCATTTTAAAATCCTTTCCAATTTATATAGAAAATCTTTTATTGTAAACTCATATTAAAATGTTTTTAGTACAAAAAGTATTTTTATTGTATGTATGTGGAGGTATGTGGCATAGGGGTGTCCATGTAGTAAAACGTGGGGCATCTACCTGACAATCCTCTAAAATCATTATAATAGGGTTTTTATTTTTAAATAGACTAGAATTGTAAATCACTGAATTATATTTTCCCTATAAAGAAAAAAAAATGAGAATCTTTAATTGAAAATATTTGATTAAAAATAAGAATTGAAACTAATGCATTTAAATTCTTTAAAGAAAAATTAAATGAAGAAAAAATACAAAATTTGTTGAAAGCTTTGAAATTCAAAGAAGTGCAAGGCATACTCATTCAACAAAAATAATGTCAAATGAATCTCTACCACTTGGCCATAGCTACTTTGCTTCCTAATTACTAAAATTTTGGAAGAATTTTTAATTGATTAAGCTATAATAACAGCAAAGATAGTGCATTTGTCCTAAAACATTACGATAATGTATTTTGTGAAGGTAGATTTCTCCCTACTTATACAAGCAATTTAAAACTTGGCCAATAGATTGGGCATGAAAATTATTTGTGTAGTATATACTAATAGTATATACTAGGAAAAATATTGGTAAAAAATACTTCAAATCCAAAGACATAGAAATATTTTTAAAATTATTTAATTATTCTTCATACAAGATATAGTTAAGTCTAAGTTTCAAACCTATGATCTAAACTTTAATTTCAAAGCAAGATAGAATCTAAAAGTTCTAAAGATATAAAGTTCTAAAAATCTACATGCATATTATCGTAAAAGGTCTACAAAATGAAGTTCAAAGTTTAGCTTTTCAAATTGTAACTAGTTTAGATTAAGTGTCAGACAAAAGATTCTAAAGTGAGAACTTAATAAAATCAAAATCTTAACTTGTATTCAACAATAGAACTAGATGATAATTGGAGTTAATTTAGACAATTCTAGTTAAAAAAGACTATATATATATATATATATATATATATATATATTGATTGATTAGTTTTTGATTTTTGATTTTTTTGCATAGAAATGAATTACCTTATTAAAGGCTATCAATATATTTCTAAAACAATAGCCTAATACCTACTAATAACTAAAAAAAATTACAATCAAATTTACAAGTAATATATATATATATATATATATATATATATATATATATATATTATATCCATAGACTTAATAGTAATTTATTTAGCTTCTATATTTACTACACCAATATTATAATTATTATTGGTAGTATTATTATTAAATAAAATTAGTTTTTTGTGAGTGATAGTAGAATAAAATCTTTCTATTAAAGAAATGAGTATGTTAAAACTATCTATTAGCACCATACCTATTTTTTGATTGTAAAAAAGATTTAAAATTTAAAAATATAAGAATTAATTAAAGATAAGAAAACAATTGGCATGTTTTGATGAGAGAAAAAAGATCTAAAAATTGTAAGCCGATATGCTTAGGACTCTACTCTAATAAATTGAACTAAAAAAGGCTTATATTTAAACTAGTAAAAATACTACAAAATTTAAGTTAAGAATCAAGTCTACATGTATATTAACTAAGGTTTTTTTTAGATTGAAAAAATAAAAACTATTTAAAACAACTATTGATGAAGAAATTTAGATGTACTTTGAATTCCAAATACAACAAATCAATATTAGAGAATTGCTAGGTGGACACCTCTTTCTTATTGCATAGACACTTGTACCACATACCTCTCTACATACATAATAAAAAATCTATTTATATTAAAACGTTTCAAGAAAATTTTATAATAAAAAAATTTTAAATAAATTTAATTAGATACTTAAAAGGAAAAAAAATGTCACATAAAAACTTAAATATAAATATAAATAAATATATAAATAAATAAGTGTAATAAGTCTTTGCATATAAAAATTTATTGTGAATTTATCTTATAATATTTAGTATAAATAAAGGTTTTATTGTACGTATGTAAAAGTGTATGGCACATTGGGGTGTCTACACAATTAATAGAAGTTTTCCATCTAATAGTTTCTGAAAGTTATTAAAAACTCCATTTAGCCTTAATATCCAAATAAAAAATATTATTTAATATTTTATTATCTAAAAAATTAAAAATTCAAAATACCTAATTTCATAATATCCATTAAATAAAAAATTATGTATTTAGAAGGATCATCATTGTAATTTTAAATTTTCTTTATTAAATCTATTATTCTTTGTGTCTTTTTACAAGTTCTTAAAAAGCCATTAAAACTATTAGAGCTTTGATTTTTTAAACTTTTTGTAAGAAGTAAATTTTATAAGTCTTAAAAAAAAAAAAAAAAAAAAAAAAAAAAAAAATTACAGATCTTGAACATGTATAAGTTACTCTCCTACAAAGATAAATTATAAAAGCATATGCTTAAAGTAATTAAGTATTTTTTAAAAATATTTATACACAACTTACATCAACTTATTTCAAAATACTTTAGAAAGAGTTTTATATGATTTTAGTTGGATCCTTCCATTAAATCTTATATTGAATAAACGTTCTAAAAATTGACTAAAAAATTAGAAAGAAAAAAACAAAATAAGTTGATTCTGAAAAAATTAGACTGCTAACTATACTTACTAATTTTTTTTTATGGTGGAATATATATATATATATATATATATATATATATAGTATTTTTTAAAATTATACTCAATATTTAAAATATGTATATTAAAAATATATAAAAAATAAAATATCTAAATAAATAATTAATCATAATTTACAATTGAATTATATATATATATATATATATATATAGATATGATTTAAAAATTATCTATAATAAAAAAGAAATAGACTTTTATCTTTAAAGGTAGAGATTTTTATTGAAAAAAATGTTAATTTTTTAAAATCAAAAGTTTATATTGTCTTATACAAATTTATATATAATTTTATCTCTAAATATATTTTTCAATTCAATGATCAAAGTTTGTGTTAAATACATGATGTAAATTATTTAATCTAAGAAAAAAAGAATTGTATACAATTGGCAATGAATATAGAAATCAAAACTAAAATAAAAAAAATTCTAAGATCTAGAGTCAATATTTTTTTCTATAAAAAAATTGATAAATTATAATTTTTCATAGACTTATATTTTTAATCATGTAGTTCTAAAATGGATTAGAAGTGCTTTCAAGAAAAAATGATTAAAATTAAGCTACATCAAATATAAAAAAGTCAACCAAAAGTTTAAGATATTTGAGGTCTTTTAGGCTTTTTTACTAGAAACAAGTAACCTTTGCCAAAACAATTATCTAACTATAAAAGAATATAATTCTTAATACAAAGAATTTATTTATATACTATTTAGATGTAATACAATATAAAGGTACTTAATAATATAATATATTCACTTCAATACATTCAAAAATTAATTTGAAATAAACTTTAAGAACATGAAAAAATCAAATAAAATTTCTAAGATATCAATTAGATAAATAAAAAAATATTGATATATTTTTACTTAATGGTTGGAATAGATTATAGATGGATTGCAGTATGCTAGCAATAAGAAAAGAATTAAATACATATTTTTTTAATAAAAATATAGATTCTAAAAAAAATTTATCATTTATAAAGTAATAATGTAAGCATAATCTTACTTACCATCACTTATATAAAATAGCTTAAGAAGAAAAATCAACTGAATAAACTAGAAAAGACAAAATTTATCTTTGATTGGCTGCATATTTCATTATTTTTATCAAAAGTGAAGCAAAATGAAACAATGACTCAACTTTTGATCAAAATCTGCATGTTATTGCTACAAATTGCTAATAGATACATTGGAAGATCACTAAGTGTGGTTTTTATAAA